TTGTCGACGTCGGTGATGCATCGGACATTCTGGGTCTACTCGAGGGCTGAGCATGTGACTCAAAGAATCCCGAAATGTTTCGAAAACTGAACCGAACTCACTCCGGACCGAAAAATAATCATTGGCCATTTGATTATACCTGAACCGAATCGAATCGGAAAAATAATTTGTACGGTTATGGAGATTTCACAAATATCCGTACCGAAAACTGAACCGAACTGTCCCATACTGTATGTAACGCCCCGTTTTATTTGAAAGAGTTTACCGAATTTATTCAAAAAAAAATCAGAGTTAATTTTTCGCAAAATCCCAATTAAAAAAAATATATAATATATCAACGGGCGCTACTGAACTACTAACAATAATTAAACAAGTAAGAACAAACATGAAGAACCTATACATGCAAACTAATAGTTATAATAATAAAAAATTAGATTATTCATAAGTCTCAAAAACACACCCAAAAGTTTAACATGATTCAACATAATTTAAGCGGAAGCATAATAATCCAAATTAACAAACGATCCAACATAGATAATAATAGCGGAAACAAAAAGACACATCAATCCAATGACCACCACTCGATCGTCTCTCGCTACTGCCGCCAACCATACTCAACCTAAAGATAGGAAGAGGAAACAAGAGGACAAAAAACAATGAGGGTGAGAAAAACTATCATGCTCACCAATACCGCACAATATATTTCGCATAAACATTCAAAACCATAAGTAAAGTAGGCATAGAATCCAAGCTCTAACTCCCTATATGGCCCTATCGCAAACCTCCTACGTACATACAACAACCTTCCGATCAGACATCGACAAGGTGTAACCGGAAACATTCCCACTCTGGATGCAACAGGCATAGGATCCTTTCCAGGAGACAGTAGAGCTTTTTTCCCCCTCCGGATATAACGACACGGGCGTCCCTCCCGGATTCAATGGGCAGGCGACCTCTCACTGATTATGCATTCATCAAAGGCGTTATCGACGGGACACTTAGACTAGGGTTCTCACGCATACAACAACTATCGAGACGAAAATTTATACGAAATAACAAGTGCGATAAATATAGATACAACGTAAATGTACCCACCTGGAAGCAGCGATAAACACAAATGCGAGGCTCTGATAAGTGGTGAGGTCAACACCTCAAAACACCTACACAAAATCAAGATAGCCTCTCGATTACTAATAATCCAACGATTGTACATACTTAGTCGAAACTCGTCGACTAAGTGGCTCGTGGGAAATTCTCGTGGAGTTATAGAATCTTTGACTCGACTCGGAACCAAGTATGGGAAAGTCACATAA